GAATCCACAAAACGAAATATTGGTTTTTTAAAAAGATTAACAAAATTGACAGACCTTTATTTAGAGTGACCAAGAAGAGAACACCCAAATTACTAAAGTCAGAAATGAAAGTGGGGACATTGCTAGCATCTTTGCAGAAATCAAAGAGATTATAAGAGAATACGATGTACAAATGTATGCCAACAAATCAGAAAACCTAGATGAAATATATTCCTAATAAGACACAAACTAGCAAACTGATTCAAGAGAAAAAGAATATCTGAGTAGATCTATTAACTAAAAAGATTTAGCTAGCCATCAAAAACTTCCTGCAAAGAAAAGCCAGATGACTTCACTAGTGAATTCTATCAAATACTTAAAGAAAAATTAACACCAATTAGTTCTTCAAGATTCTTCAAAACCTTCAAATTCTTCAAAAACTCTTCCAAAAAAATAGATGAGGAAGAAAAAGTCCCCACTTCTTTTTATGAGGACCATATTACCCTAATACCAAAAACCAGACAAAAACATCACAGGAAAATAAAACAACAGATCAACATCCCTCATAAACATGGGTGCAAAAAATCCTCAACAGAATACTAGCAAACCAAATCCAGCAGCATGTAAAAAGGATTATACATCATGAGCAGGTGGCATTACTTCCAGGAATTCAAGGTTGGCTCAACATACTAATATCAATCCATTTAAGACACCATTTTAACAGATTAGAAGACAAAAACCACATGATAATCTGAATAGATACAGAAAAAGCATTTGATAAAATCCAACACCCTTTGTAATAAAAACACAACAAATTAGGAATAGAAAGAAACTTTCATAACTTGGCAAAGGGTATCTGTGAATAAACTTAGAAACACAAAGCTAACATCATATTTATTGATCAAAGACTGAAAACTTTCCCCCCTAAAATCAGGAATGAGTCAAGAATGTTAGCTTTATAATTTCTATGCAACATTGTTCTAGAAGTTCTAGTTGGGGCAGTTAGGCAAGACAATGAAATAAGAGGCATCCAACTTGGAAAAGAAGGAGTAAAAATACTTCTTTTTGGTTATGACATGGTCTTATATAGAGAAATCCCTAAAGAATCTAAAAGAAAAAAGGCTTATTAGAACTAATACATGAATTCAGCGAGGTTACAGGATACAAGATCAATGTGCAAAAATCAGTTGTATTTCTGTATGCTAGCAATGAACAATCTGAAAATTAAGAAAGCCATTCTATTTGCAATAGCATCAAAAAAAAAAAAAGAAAGAAAGAAAGAAAGAAAGAAAAATTTAACCCAACAATGACAAGACTGTATTACACTGAGAACTAAATAACATTTTTGAAAGAAACGAAAGGCCTACATAAATGGAGAGACAATCCATATTCATAGTTTAGAAGACTTAATATTATTAAATGGTAACACTTCAAACTGATCTACAGATTTAGTGCAATCCCTGTCAAAATTCCAACTGTCATTTTTGCATAAATGGACACATTGATCCTAAAATTTATATGAAAATGTAAAGTACCCAGAATAGCTAAAAAGTCTTTAAAAAAGAACAAAGGGAGAGGACTCATACTTTTCCATTTCAGAATTTCCTGAAAAGCTACAGTAATGGTACTGACCGTGTGGTACTGACATAAGGACAGACATACAGATCAATGGACTAGAATTGAGAGTTCTGAAATAAACACATACATTTATGGGCAATTGATTTTCAACACAGGTGCCAAGACCATTCAGCTGGGGAAAGAATAGTCCCTTCCAGATGGTGCTGGGATAGCTGCATAGCCACATGCAAGAATGAATTTGGACTCCTACCTTACACTATACATGAAAAGAGCTAAATGCAAGAGCCAAAAACAAAACTCTCAGAAGAAAGCATGGTTGTAAATCTGTGATTCGGGATTAGGCAACCATTTAGATAGGACACCAAAAACCACAAAGATCCAAAGAAAAAATAGATTTAAGACTTCATCACAATTTAAAACTTCTGTGCATCAGGGGTACCTGGGTGGCTCAGTCAGTTAAGTGCCTGACTCTTGATTTCGGCTTAGGTCATCATCTCATGGTTCGTGAGTTCAAGTCCCACGTGGGGCCCTGCACTGGCAGTGTGGAGCTACTTGGGAGTCTGTCTGTCTGTCTGTCTGTCTCTCTCTCTCTCCCCCCCTCTCCCTGTCTGTTCCTCCCTTGCTCTCTCTCTCTCTCAAAATAAATTTAAGAATAAAATTTTGAAACTTCTGTGCATCAGATAAGCAAAATAAGTCAGAGAAAGATAATACTATTTAACTGATATGTGGAATTTAAGAAACAAGCAAATGAACATAGAGGAAGGGAAGGAAAAATAAAATAAGATGAAAACAGAGAGGGATACAAACCATAAGAGACTCTAAACGATAGAGAACAAATTCAGGGTTGCTGGAGGGGAGGGGGATGGGGGATGAGTTAAATGGGTGACGGATATTAAAGAGGGCACTTGTGATCAGCACTGGGTGTTGTATGTAAGTAATCAGTCACTGAATTCTACTTCTGAAACCAACTTTACCCTATATCTTAACTAACTTGAATTTAAATAAAGTCTTGAAAGAGGAAAAAAAGAATTAGAGGTTTGTTATAAAGAAAAGGCAGATTTTTTACAAATAAAGTAAGTACCCCCAAGACAAACTGTGTCAGAGAACATTATCAAGAAAGTGAAAAGACAACCCACAAATGGGAGAAAATATTTACAAATCCTATATCTAATAAGGATCTTCTGTCTAGAATATGTAAAGGACTCTTAAAACTCAAGAATAAAAAGATAAAAGACCCAGTTAAAAAATGAGAAGATTTGAATACACAATTCTCCAAAGAAGATACACAAATGGCCAATAAGCACATGAAATGATGCTGAACATCATTAGTTGGTAAGGAAATGCAAAATAAAATGACAATGAGATATTACTTCACACACACTAAAATAGCTTTTTTTTTTTTTTTTAAATTTTTTTAATGTTTTATTTATTTCCAGGAGAGAGAGAGACAGCGTGAGCAGGGGAGGGTCAGAGAGAGAGGGAGTCACAGACTGAAACAGGCTCCAGGCTCCGAGCTGGCAGTCAGCACAGAGCCCGACGCGGGGCTCGAACCCATGAACCACGAGATCATGACCTAAGCGAAAGTCGGACGCTCAACCGACTAAGCCACCCAGGCGCCCCTAAAATAGCTTTAATAAAAAAAAGAATAAAAAAAGAATAACAAGTGTTGTCAAAGATACAGAAAAAGTGAGCTCCTCATATACTGCTGGTGGGCTATAAAAGGGTACAGCCTCTGTGGAAAATGGTTTGGCAGTCCTCAAAAAGTTAAAGATAGAGTACTATATGACCCAGCACATTCCATTCTTAGGTATGTGATCAAGAGAACTGAAAACATATGTTCACACAGAAACTTGTACACAAGTAGTCATAGAAGCATTATTCATAATAGCCAAAAAGTAGAAACCACTCAAATGTCCACCAACTGATGAATGGATCACCATTAAAAGTGATACAGCCGTGCAGCGGAATATCATGCAGTCGTACAAAGGAATAAAATATTGAGCAATGCTATGAATGGATGAACTCTGCAAACATCATGCTAAGTGTAAGAAACCACACCCGAAAGGTCACATATTATCTGTTTCCTTTATGTGTAATGTCCCGAAGAGGCAAATACATAGAGAAGGTAGATTAGTGGTTTCTGGGCATCAGCGAGTGGAGAGAAAAATGAGGGGACCAGCTATAGAGCAAATGGAATTTTTGTTTTTGAGAGATGGAATTGTCCTGGCATTAGATAGGGTGATGGTTTTACACCCTTGTGTCCTTAACTAAAAACCACTGAATTTAAAGTGTACTTAAAAATGGAAAAACAAGGAGCTCCTGGATGGCTCAGTTGGTTAAGCTTCAGCTCAGGTCATGATCTCACTGTTCATGAGTTCAAGCCCTGTGTTGGGCTCCGTGCTGACAGCTCAGAACCTGGAGCCTGCTTTGGATTCTGTGTCTCCCTCACTCTCTGTCCCACCCCTGCTCACACTCTGTCTCTGTCTCCCTCAAAAAAATAAACATTTAAAAATGGAAAAGAAATGTAAAAAAAAAAAATAATTGGAGGAAGGGTCAGAATCAGGTAATAGGTTTGGGAATCATTCATAGAACTAAGGAATGGGAATGGATTCTCTGTAGGGCTGCTGTCCTGTCCAGTTAAGTGTTTGAAAATACCAAATCTGTATGTAAAACTCAGAAAAGCTTTATACCAGCCTGTCACAGTGCTTCCCTCTGGAGAGCTAAGAAACACCTGGCTCTGGAGTAGAGGCTCAGAGTAACTACTCAAGCTCTCCACACCTATGCTTCCTTACTTTGAAATAACAGCTTTGGTTTTGTCCTCAAAAAGTTAAATAGTTACTAGAAAAAACATTTGCTGCACCTGAGTCCACTGGGACTCAGGGCCATTCCCAGTGTGTTTGAGTCAATGTGCACACCCCGCGCTCCCCCCCCCCCCCCCCCCCCCCCCCCCCCCCGCCCCGGAACAGAAAACACGGCAAGGAGAGCTCTCCAGAGCCAAGTGGCACAGAGGCACCCATGGTTGGAAAGTGTCTTCTAGAGCCTCAACAGATGGAAATTCCTTTCTCTTTCCCGAGAAAAAGACCCTCTCATCTGTCAGCTTTGGTGTGCAGATCTTCTGAAAATGGCCTCAGAACAATGCAGAGGCAAAGTCGTCTTTGTTGTTACTAACCAAGCAGAAAAGCTGAACAGCCACAGCGTCACCATGTGACTTCGGAATGTGACCCTGTGCCCGAAGAAACAGCAGCCTCCCTCCCCAACTGGTTTTTACCCCATCAAATAACCACGTGACAGAAAAGGGATTTGTGTCAGAAATGGCGTTGGGTTTCCTGCCTGGTGGTATGTGTTGGGCTTACTTTTCTGGTGTTTAGGGCTGGGCCAGTAGCGGGGCCAGGAGAGTCCTTAGGTCAGGCCCGAGGTAATGAAGTCCATGCTTTCATTGGCAGTAGTGTGGTTCATCAAAGAGCTGACTGGGACAGCATCCACGAGAAGATCTGTCAGCTCCTGATCCCGCTGCGTACTACCATGCCCTTCTACAATTCCGAGGAAGAGCGGCAGCACGGCCTGCAGCAGCTTCGCCAGCGGCAGGTGAGTCCCACGGGGCTGCTGCGGGGGTAGCTCATGGGTGCTACCCTAGGAGAAAGAGTGACCCTCTTTGAGGACGGAGACTTTGTTTTGTTTCTCTGTGCCCTCAGTACAGTTGTCCCCCGGGTATTTACTGAATCTCAGAAGTCCAAGATCAAGGATAGGTATCAGCAGGCTTAATTTCTTCTGTGTACATGCATCCCTGGTGTTTCCAAATGTCTTAAAATTTTTTTTAAATTTTTTTTATTTCTGAGAGAGAGAGAGAGACAGCGTGAGCAGGGGAGGGTCAGAGAGAGAGGGAGACACAGAATCTGAAACAGGCTCCAGGCTCTGAGCTGGCTGTCAGCACAGAGCTGGACGCGGGGCTTGAACCCACAAACCGTGAGTTCATGACCTGAGCCGAAGTCGGCCGCCCAACCGACTGAGCCATCCAGGCGCTCCTCAAAACGTCTTCTTTAAAGGACACCAGTCAAATTGGATTAGTGGCCATCCTAATGACCTCTCAAACACTCCGTCTCCAAATGGAGTGACATTCTTGGGTTCTAGGGGTTAGAGCTTGAGTTTGGGTGGAGAGGGGAACAAAATTCACCCTTAACACCCATATATGCCAAGTATGTTGACAAGAGTGCAGGTATAGAGGAGGAGGTAAAAATGATGTATGAATACAGTAGGGAATACGTAAAGGAGATTTAAAAACTTTTATTATGGCATTGATAGCATCTCACTTACTCTAAAAAAAATAGTGTTTTATAACCCGTAAATCTCAAAACTCCAGATTCATCAATTTTAGTATTGTGGCACTTTGAGAATGGCCTTGGGACAATGCAGAGTTTAAGTTATTTCTGATATTTGCTAAGCAGGATAACTCCAGAAGGAAAGAGGAACTGTTTCTGTCAAAATTAACTGGAACAGGGAGTCAAAGTTTTAGAATGTCTGAAGACATGACAGTTTTGCTAAACCACAATCTTATGATGAATATAAGAATAATAATTATTGAATAGTTTTATATTAAACCCTCATTTATGCCGATCAGTGAGCTACGGTGAGAAGACACTTGTTCATGGCCCTTGAAGAACTTACAATCTGGGTTTACCTTTTTTCTATCACTTAATTTGGGTCTCATGGCCACCTTAATACAAGCAGGTTAGCTAGGAGCCCTGGACCAGTTCATTGGGTGTTGGCCTTGCTCCGGGTGTACCTATGCCCACCCTTGATGGTCTAGTTTTTTCTTCCACAGAAACACTTGATTGAATTTTGCTACACCGTAGCCCAGAAATACCTCTTTGAAGGAAGACACGAAGCCGCTGTTCCAGCAGCTTTGCATTCACTTCGCTTCCGCATGAACGTGTACGGCCTGAGCTCCGTAGAGCTTGTGCCTGCTTACCTGCTGCTGGCCGAGGCGAGCCTGGGTAAGGGAAATGACCTGAGATCCCCCGGGCCCCTGAAGGAGCACTACACTGGGTCACATCAGTGGCCAAAGAGTGCAGCCTTGGAAGTGGTACAAGAGCAGTGTTGTACAAGAGCAGTGTTGCTGTCAAGTTTGCTACAAGTTAGGTGGGGAAGCAGATGTCATCAACTTTGGGCTACTACTGATGGAAGCCCACGATCAAGCTGGCCTACACAGAAGAAGGACATTTATGAGGACTCTGGAGTGTCCCAGGGGGATTGAGGCTTCGTGAGGCACTAGAATCAGAATACTGTAACCAACTAAGGCTGGTGCTCTGCTTCTTTCTTGGGCCATGTCTCTTGTCTCTGCTTCTCTCTTTGCGTCCGCTTTATTTTCCATCTCTGCAAACTTTTCTGCCCCGTGCCTACCACAGAAGACAGCTACCCCAGAATAGCAGATGTAGCTGAATTTACATGGAATCCACGTGTCCTGCAGGTTCAAGGAGGGTCATCGAAACTAATTAGCATCTGATTTCCATTGTTCAATTCCTAGAAGAGAGGGTTGTGTTGACTCAGCTTGAATGTGGTATTTACCTTTATCTGCCTTTGTGTCAAGGTCACATGGTGACAGGAGTATAGGAACCTGCTCCCGTGGATGGAGAGGTGGTTCTGAGAGCGGGAAGCACAGACTTGGAAGATCTCCGTCCCACGCGGTGGTTGCTACAAGAAGAGAATTAGCATCTTGGAGGGGAATTAACCTTTATGAGCATCTGCAGCGTTTTAGGGACTGTCCACCACTTTATACATCTTAATAGCCACTATTTAAAAAAACAAACAAACAAACTTTTAGGGGCACCTGGGTGACTCAGTCGGTTAAGCGTCCAACTTTGGCTCAGGTCATGATCTCACAGCTTGTGAGTTCAAGCGCCACCGTCGGGCTGTGTGCTGACAGATCAGAGCCTGGAGCCTGCTTCAGATTCTGTGTCTCCATCTCTCTCTCTGCCCCTCCCTCTCTCTCTCTGTCTGTCTGTCTCTCTCAAAAATAAACATTAAAACAAACTTTTAAAATGAAAGGCTGTTGGAAATACAGTACGATGAACTTTTTCCCCTGAGCTGCGTGAGGGTTAGTTGCTGGCTGGGTCCATTTCCTGCAAAGATGTCCTCCTTCATAACATAGTGTCACCATCATCTACTGTCATCTTCTAAGCAGATCCCATCCAAGTGTCTCCAACTGTCCCAATAACGTCTTTATAGCAGAAGGATACAGTTCAAAATCATCCTTTTCATTTTGTTGCCATGTGTTTTTAGTCTCCCTCATTCTGGAATAGCTTCGTCAGTCTTTCTTTGACTTTTATGGCTCTGACACTTTTAAGAGTAAAGGCCAAGTATTCTATAAAATGTCACTCAATTTGGGTCTTTCTGATGTTTCCTCACGACTGGACTCAGGTGATGTATCTTTGGCAGGAATATCACAGAGGTGGTGCTGTGTTCTTCTCACCTCATCCTGCAAGTTGGCACATGTTTTCAATTGCTCCATTACTGATGATACCCATTTAAGTTACTTTACTAAGGTGGTGTTTGACAGGCTTATTCTTTGTATACTCTTCCCTCTTTTGCAATTAGTAAGTATCTTATGGGGAGGTATTCTGAAACTATATAAATGTCCTGTTCCATCAAACTTTCTCTATATTCATTTATTTATTTATATTAGTATGGACTCTTCGTTCTCTAGTCTATTCAATGGATTAATATTCTATTACTATCATTAATTTGGTGCTTAGATTATTCTAAGTGGTGGCCCATTCAAACTGGCTTCTATGTCTCCTTGACACAACCCCATTGTTCTTTATCACTTTCCTGCTTTTTGGAACATACCTCCAAGGAGCCTTGTGGATTTTTTTGGTTGTTGTTTGGTTTGTTTGTTTGTTTTTGTTTTTTTTAATGAAAATGGAATTCAGAAGCCAAGCGTTGTATAGCAGATATTTGCATTGCTGTCGGGGTAGGGTTGTTCCTAGGCCTTCTCAGTGGATAGAATTAGGGAATATGTATGAATATAATAATGCCTACACATTTTACATCTAAATTCATCATCTCTTGATAGATAGATAGATAGATAGATAGATAGATAGATAGATGAGTATGAGTCCATGCCAGTACTTCTAAGTTAAGTCCAGCACCACCACAGGGTTCAATCTAATTTCCTCCCATTCCATATCTGTAGTTCTCTGACAATGAGAATGCTGGCTTCCTTTTTCATTAACATATTTATATATTTCATCAGTTCCCCTGAATGAACCAACCTCCCATCTCCAGCCCTACTCTTTCCCCTTGCAGATGTCCTTCTCTCCTTCCATGGGCTCTTGACTCCTCATTCAGGGCTGCTACTTCTGCATTGATCCCCTCCTCACCAGTTTGGGCTCTTATTCCCCAAAACCAGGCCACATAACTGCAAGAATGCCCCTCCTTACTCTGCTTGGGTCTGGCTCCCCATTCCATACTGCCCCTCCACCTAAACTACTGGGAAGAGCACTGGACAAGGAAATACAGCCCAGGTTCTGTGTATTTCTGACACTGACTAGCTGCAGGATTTTGGGAAAGTCTCCCTAGCCTAAGTCTCATTATTTCTCATCTGGACTATTGCTGACTAGCTGGCATCTGACCTCCCTCCAGTTTGGCCTCCACACAAAATATGATCAGACCACTCCACTAGATAAAGACCAGATTCTCCAAGCAGCCCTATGAGCTGCTTTGTTCTAATATGCTGTCACCTTTATGAATTCTGTCACCTCATCTCGCATCTTCTCCCTCCCTTTTAGTTATGCTGTCCTCTCTTCTTGTTCGGGAAGGCTCTTCTGTAGCCACTGTCCCCTCCACCTAATTCCTATTCATCCTTCAGGTCTAGGCTTGAGTTACTATCCCCTTGGGGCACCTGGGTGGCTCATGGGGTTAATCATCCAACTCTTGATTTCAGCTCAGGTCACGATCCCAGTGTAATCGGATTGAGTCCCGCATTGGGTTCTACGCTGAACATGCAACCTGCTTGGGATTCTCTCTCTCTCTCCCTCTGCCTCTCTCCCCTGCTTGGCCTCTCTTTCTCTGTCTCAAAACAAAAGAATTAGAAAACTACTTTGAGGAATTACCGCCCCCTTGTCTGGAAGCCTCACCCAAGCCCCCAGACTGGACCAGGTTTCTTTTTATATGTCCCCTTAAAAACCTCTTCCTCTTCTGGGTGTACATATCTGTTGATGAGATTATTTAATTACAGTTCTCTTTCCCTCTAGACTATAAACTGAGGGAGAACCAGAACTGTCCCTATTCTCACTCATCAGAGTGTCTTCACACCCAGAGCAGCACTTAGCACAGAGGAGGTGCTGAAACTCGCCCCCTCCCGCAGAACCTGGCATCGAGTGGGCCCTGTGAAAGCATCTGTGCCCTTCACAGAATTGTTTTGAGGAATAAATGAGTTTGTGTGTAATGGACGTGAGAGTGCTTTGCAAGCTGGAATGTTCTGTCTAAATGGAAGCTCTCATTAATACCTCCCCCAGTCATTGACTGAAAACTATGCCAGCCTTTTTGTCAGTCTAAATAAATCACATTCTTTTTTTTTTTTTTTTTAATAACAGGGGAGGGGCAGCTGTCAGCCCAGCCTAAGCCTATCTTCTCACCCTGCACATGAGTGTCACTACTCCTTAAGTGGCTATTCCTTCTCTTTCTATTCCATATGCTACTGACATGACCCTTTAGGATAGTCTCCCTTCCTTTAGCAACTTTGTGTATCTGGTACCTCCACTCCATCCCTACGCCTGTCCAGGCAAACACTGTGTCAAAGAGAACATGCCTGAACTTACCCATTCAGCAGCCACAGTCTCCCTTCTGACCTGCTTAGAGCGGTGCATTCCTCCTACCCCACTATCCCTGCTCTCTGGATTTGGGGCCTCAAATATTTTTCTCCCAGGATGCCTTTTCCTTTGAGATGCTTGTTATTTGCTGGTGCAGCTTAACTGCAGGGCCTTCCTTCAGCATGGCCTTCTTGAATGAAAACTGGACAGTGAAAATGAAATGTCCAATATATGTCAGTGCCTTCTACCAATTCTCCCCAATCTAAATAATCTTTGCTAAGAACCATTTGCCTCTTCAAATTTGAGAGGACCGTGGTCTCCAGCTCTTATTTCACAGAGCAAATCCAGGTGGAAGATGTGACTTGCCACGCACGTCTGCACGAGCCAGGATCATGGGCATTGGCCTCTTGCTTCTAATCTAGGATTTTCCTGTTCCTTTACTTTTGTCACCAAGCCTTGCAGAATCTTCCTCCATAGTGGTAGTCACACTCCGTTCTCCATCCCCATAGTCCTTGGCCATCACTTTCTGACTCTATGGATTTGCCTGTTCTGGGCATTTCATATCAATGGAATCCTGCAATATGTGGCCTTTTATATCTGGCTTCCTTGACTTAATGCAATGTTTTCAAGGTTTATCCATGTTATAGCCTGGATCAACACTTCATTCCTTTCTGTGGCTGAATAATCTTCTACCCATGGATATGGATAGCCCACATTTTGTATATCTACTCATCAGTTGATGAGCATTTAAGTTGTTTCTAGTTTTTGGCTGTTATGGCTAGGCTGCCATGAACGTTCATATACAAGTTTTGTGTGTGAATAAATGTTTGAGTCAATGAATAAATGAGTGAATGGGTGCTGACTCATATTTCATCATATGTTCTCTGGCCAGGGTATGAATTCTAACTTTCTCTACTTCGTTTGGGCAGGTCTGGGCCAGATTGTCCAAGCTGAGGAATACCTATCCCAAGCCCAGTGGACAGTCCTCAAATCAACGGAATGCTGTCATTCCATCCAGTCTTTGCTGCATCGGAACCTCGGACTTCTCTACATAGCTAAGGAAAACTATGAGGAAGCCCGTTACCATCTGGCCAATGATGTAAACAAGCTAAATTACGACACCTGAATGTTTCTGAGAACAGCTATGCTGCATTTTGTTTGTTCTTTTTCAAACTGAGCACGTCTCTAAAGTGTTCTGTTTACAACTGACTGGCGAGGTATTAGCGAGAATGCGGTTGTAACAAACTGAGTCAAGCCTTTCCACCTCCTGGCTGTGCAACGTTGGGCCAAATCACATCACTTCTGCAAGCCTGAATGCTCTGAGGATAATAAAGGGAGGTAGAACAGCACACTGGTTAAGAGAAGGGCTTTACTTCTACTCCTGGTCATGGTCTTGGACCAATTATTTAAACTCTTTCATCAGCTATAAGACAGAAATCATCAAGTAGCCTATGCCTCATTGGGTCATTGAAAAGATTAATAACAAGACAATATCTATGCAGCATTTTGGCTGTTATTTTTACATGTAACATCAATGTTTCTACTTCAGAGCTGTTGGCATATGAAAGTTCCTTATAAACTATACTTTAAACTATAAAACTAGGTACAAATGTTAGATAAGATGGTGATGAGGGCAATGACTGAGCTATTCTTCCAAAATTCATGATGTTTCTATTAGGATTTCAGTAGTGGACAATATTACCAGACAGAAAAGTTCCTGAGCCTGAAATCTGGACGAGGTTAGGGTCAGGATGCAGTCTCCATGCACGCTGGTTCTCTCTTCAGCCTCTCCATTGGGCAGCCCTTCCTCTGACTGCCTGCCACTGCACAGTGTCGCTAAATCCACCGGAAACATTCTTGTGCTGGTTTGTCTCCATACCCCCTCATTCCAAATCCATTCTCTGCTCTACTGTGCCCTGGGAGGCTGACCTCTGTGGACTGCATGGCCGGACTCTATTGCTTTCCTGCTTCTGTTGGATTTAGAGAGTGAGAGGCATGACAGGGGAGTGGATGTTGGGAGGAGATAGAGATTGGGTTTCTACTCTCTCTGTTGCCTTCCTGCTGCACCCCAGTTGGCACGGGCAGGGCTCCTCCATGGCCACAGTTCCAGCAGGGGGCCTTCTCCCATAGGTCTAGCTCTTGTGGGGCCCTGGTGACCCTGCTTTCTCCCTCGCTTTGCCAGGAGTCTGGACAGTAATAGTTTCTTGCTGCTGAGAGTCCCTAGGGCTTTACTAGCTCTTGTTAGTTCTTTGATCTCTATATGTCTCTTTAAAGAATCCTTTCATTAAATTGTCTTCAGGAAATGCTTTGAGGGTGCCATCTATTTCCACCTAGGAGACTAACTAGGAGACTTCTTCCTCTGCCTTTTCTCTCTATACTCTCACTCTACCACAAATTAAACAGACCCACAGATTCTGTCTTGAGCTGGGCCACACAGTTAAGAAGTAGATCAAACTCAGATTCATCTGCCTACCTTTCAAAACAACAACAACAACAACAATAACCAGAGCTTTGTTGATACGTATCATAGACTTGACCCACTTTAAGTATACAACTCAGTGATTTTTAGTAAACTCACAGAGTTGTGCAGCCATCAGCACAGTCCAGTCCACATTCCCATCACCCCTGAGATCCCGCATATCCATTTACAGTTTATTTCTCATTCTGACCCCCAGCCCCAGACAACCACTTTGTCTCCCTAGATTTGCCTTTTTCTGGACATTTACTATAAGCAGAATGCTATGTGGTTTTTCCATCTGACTTCTGTCACTTAGCGGAATTATGTTGAGGTCCATCCATGTTGTTGTGTCGATACCTCATTCCTTTTACTGCTGAGTAGTGTTCATCTTCTGGATATACAATTTTTGTCCAGCCACTTATCACTTGATGAACATTGGGGTTGTCTCCGCTGTTATGAGTAACGTTGCTGTGAATGTTTGTGTACAAGTCTTCGTGTGGACACAAGTTTTCATTTCTCTTGGGTGCGCGTCTAAGAATGAAATCGCTGGGTCATATAATAACTTCACTGTTGAACGTTTTGAGAGCTTGCAAACCATTTTTCACAGAGGCTGCGTTGTTTTCTATTCCCACCAGCAGTGGATGAGGGTTCCATTTTCTCCATGTCCTTGCCAACGCTGATTTTCTGCCCTTTCGATGAGAGCCATTCTAGTGTGTGTGAAGTGGTATCTCACTGCAGTTTTTGCGTTTCTGTAATGACTGATAATGTTGAGTATCACTTCGTGTGTTATTAGTCTTTGGCATATCTTCTTGGAGACATGTTTATTCAGATCCTTTGCCCACTTTTTAATTTTATTTGGACTGTTGTAAAAGTTCATTACAAATTCTAGGTGTATAAGTTCTTTAAATCAGATACATGGTTTACAAAGAGAACTGAAGCACCCCTTCTTCCTCCTGCTATAGATTTATTTTGCCAGTTGTGCATTTGGAACAGAGGATATCAGGACCTCAGGAGGCTACTTCCACTTGGCTAATATCTTCTATGCCCTTAAACAGTTGAACGTGGCAGACACGTTGTACACCAAGGTGAGCTGGGGAATATGGGAGTGGAGCCTTGATACTGTGGCCTTCTAAGTTACAACTGTGTCAGACCATTCATGAGAAATTTGAGGCAGAGAGAGATGAAGTGATTTGCCCAAGATCACATGGTCTGATCCATGATATATTCCCACTTTTCTTTCTTTCTGTTTCTCCACTGGCAAACTAGGCGAGGCTCAGGTCTGGCCTGATGCTCTGATTATGTCTGTTTTCCCAACAGATCTCTGAGATCTGGAGTAAATACTTGAACACTCGCTACCAGGTGCTCTCAGAGGCTCGCAACAAACAGATAGACTTACTGGGCAAACGATTTGAGACCGATACTGGCTTGGGTAAGTGGCAGCTCTCCCTGGGAAACAGAGCAGTGACTTCACCCCACCTAATCCACAGGCCTTGTCCCCAAGAGGGAGCGCCACTGTCCCTGTCACTAGCACACCAGTGCCTTCTTCTGTATTTTGCTGATGCGGACACTGAGATAGGGGAATCAAAGAGATTTCACCAGTGTTGGGAAGAACTCAGAGCCCTGGTACCACACACAAGCCTTTCTGGGGGTTCATAAGGGACAGATGTGGAGAGAAAAAGACCTACCAGAGCTCCCTGTGATTTCTGCAGAACCTCCCTTTCTTACATGTTATCCCTCAGGGCACATAAGGCAAGGTAAACTCTCTCATGCTGCTCATTTGTTCTGGGGACTTCACCTCTTCCTTTACTGGGCAGTGAGCTCCTCAGCGGCAGGGCTGGGTCTCATTATTTCTCCGTCCCCAGGCTCTACAATGAGTGAGTGCTGAGTGGCACTGTATGACATCGTTCCCTCTGAGGTAATAAAAAGGGACAGAGGATCTAGTTTCTGCTCAAAAGAGACAGCGTAGTTGATGAGACAGAACCTACGGGAAATAAAAGGAAATTTCTACAAGTACAAATTTTATTACAAGATGAGTTCTAGAATGAAGAGGTGAGGACAGTTGGATGGTGTTGAATAGGAAAGACTTCTTGGAGGAATGGTTTTGAACTAAGATTTTTAAAAATCAATAACTTTATTCAGTTTTCTCTCATTATAAAAGTGGTGTATGTGAAAACAGAAAACTTGGGAATCATAGAAATCCAGGCAACCGCAGGGTTATGGTTTTTGCCCTTTCTGTCTTCCTCTCTAAGCTTAGTATGTAAAAAGTGTTGAGGAGTACGTGGCCCCAGATGACTCATAATAAGTCAATAAATGGTCGCTAAAGTAGGACTAACGCCACTAGGAGGAAGAGTAAACCAACTTACATGGGGAAGCAGAAAGGCTGTGGCTGAAGCACCCTTGGGTTTGGGAGAGGATTAAGCTGCTGGCTGCTGGAAGTCCCAGCTCCCTCCTCTTGCTCTCAGGCGGGAGCTAAGGGGGACCCAAGGAATCCCACTGGGACAGCCTCTGCATTTGGAGCCTAAGAAATCAAGAGTTTAGGACCCTGAAAGAGAGAAACCACAGTTCCCTCGAGACCGGGAGCTGCTTGGGGTGAGCAGGCTTTATGGAGCTGCCTGAAACTGCCTGGCTTCTTGCTGGCACGCGGCCACAGACCTCCAGGGGAAGACCCCGCTGTGCCTTGTGCCCAAGGCCAGCGCCCTGTCAGCCCTGTGCTCACCCGTGAGGGGAGACTCAGCAGCTCCCCACAGCCTGTTTCTTCTTTCCAGCCTCCTCCCTTTCTGTTGCAGATGAAGCGCAAGAAGCAGAAGCCATTCAGATCCTGACTTCAATCTGGAACATTCGAGAATCTACATCCAACAAAGCCCCCGAAAAAGCTATCTTCATTCTAAATACCCTCGTCATGCTTTACTACCTAATGATGAACTCTGCAAAGGCAAGTGTCTCCAGAAAAGCGCCATGTCTAAAACGGAGGTCAAAGTCCCTCTGGTTGAATTCAGCTGTGTTTTGCGCAGCTGCACGGCCTTCTGTCCTCTGAGTAAGGCCTCACTTTGGAACAGTTCAAATGCTCGTGGCGTTTCTCATTTGTTGAGTCCAACCTGCATAATGGAAACTGCGCTGTCTTCTTCCCTAGGGACATGCCTGTCACTAGCCTAAGTACTTCTCACGAACTAACACAGTGAATTGTCAGGCCGACTTTATGAAGTAGGTATTTTATTATTCCCACTTTACAGATAAGGAAACTGAAGCACTGAGAGGGTCCATTATTTGTCCAACTTCTTTGGGGGGAGGGGAAGTCACGATACACAAGGCAACACTTAATGTGGAATAAAATTCAGATCGTGAATAGCGCTGCCAAGGAAAAGAAAGCAGGCAAGGAGACAGGGAGGGCTGGCTGGAGGACGCCTTTCTGTGTGGGTGTCACGGAAAATTTAGGATTCCCTTCCCCCGCTCTCCCTTCCTCCCGACCTTTCTTCAGCAAACTTTACTAAGCACCTTCTGCACACCAGGAGCTAGAGTAGTGGGTTCTACTCCAGTGTGATGGTGAAGACCAGGGCACTGTGGGAACACAAGGGAGGGACACTAACCCTACCTGGGATGGAGTAAGAGTGCTTAGGGAACAGGGAAGCATTTCCATTGAATTTCCAAGCTTACACTACAAACACCTCTTTTCTACAGTCCCGGGTCCAGTTTTCTCCTGTGTACGCAAGGGAGTCCTTACCCCAAGGCATGTGAAGGGTGTTAGATCTGCGAGAGGGCCTTAGAGAATAGGGACACATACGTCTACTCCAGAGTGCCACCTCACTTCCTTTAGGTCTTTCCTCATTGTCTTCAACGAAGCTTTCCCTGCCCCGCCTACTTAAAGCTGCAAAAGCCTGCTACGCGGCTGGTGCTTCCAAGCCCCGTTTGCCACTTTATCCTTTTCCTTAACACATCTCACGTTGAAGATACGATGGTGTTTTACTTGTTTGTGGTGTTTGTGGCCTCTCTTCCCCCACTGTGTTGTAAGTTTCCCGAGGGCAGGAATTTCCACCTGCGACCATAGTACCCGGAACATAGTAGCCATCCAATAAATACTGGAAGGGAAGGAGAAAGTGGTGGAAGGAGGGAGGGGAGAAGAACCAACCGAATCTGTCCCAGGATGTCCTGTGAGGCCTCTGTCCAAGTAAAACTCTGGACCACAAGGCCCCTGGATGGCAAGTTGCTTGTGGCCCCCATCACCCCTGTGCCTCCCGGTGTTGTTGGTTCAGAGGGTCCTGATTCAGATCCTGTGGAGATCTCGCTTCATTAAGAAGGTGTACTTTGTACTTAGTGTGTCAAGGCAGGCAGGTTTCTCTGGTCCCCCATGCCCACATGTGTGGCTAGCTGTAAGGACCGGTGGGTATTCACGAGTTTCCAACAAGTGGAAACTCCGAAAGTGGAAACTTTTCACACCAGTGGCTGGTGTGAGAGCTGAGGGGTCCTTTCCCATGTTTCTGGGTTGAGCACAGATGGGGCTTCCCAGTGTAAAGCTTTCCCACAATGACTCCCTTTTGTAACTGTAATTCTGTCCCAGGCACAAGAATATGCCAAGAGGGCCTCCAGTCTAGCTGAAGAACACCATCTCAGTGTCCATGAACAAAGTACCATTCAAGAGTTACTAAGTCTTATCTCAGCTGAAGGAGCTCATCCTGTTACTTAGTGACCCATGAATGCTGTGTCAGCCGCTACTCAAGGGGCTGTTGACTTTGTAATGCGTTCCAGCTTACACAAGTGCTTTGAGGTACTGTGACTCGCCGAAGGCTCCCCTTTCCCCCGGGACTGCACACACAGCCGTGTTTTTATTTTTAACATAGCACGTGTGAGGGACTATAGAGCTTTAGACATAAAAATCAGTAAAACCGATCTTCATTATGACCTTTGCCCTTGGCCTCTGGTGACTTTGTATGACTGAGTTATGCACTGTCAGCTTATTAATATGGTACTTTTAATTGAAGCACAAAGAGTTTATCATTTACCAGAAGTCTCCCAGGGACACATGTTTCATAGATCTTTGCCAAGGAAGCATGTAGGGGATAGAGTTATACTGAGGCAAACTTTTCCTGTCCTCCTGGCATTAAGGTAGTGTTATTCTGAGGTAGATTGTGACTTAAATGTCCATTATAGGTCTTAGAACAATCACTGAGAAAATTACTCTGAAGGGTAGCTACAAATCAACAAAGAAATTAAAACAGTACACTAGAAAATATCCACTTAGTGAAAAGAAGGCAGAAAAGGAGGAATAGCAGAAGAACAAGATACGAAACGTATCAAATACAAGTAGCAAAATGTGACACCCATCCGAGGTGTTTGCAGGGCACCCAGCCTGGATTAGCTGAGATACCATTCCAGGCTGGGGCCTTTCTTTTCTTCAACAATGACTGAAGCAGACGTGAGCCATCTATACTGATGCAAAGGATAGAGTGCAGGCCTCCGTGGCAGACATACCTGGGTTCAAAGCCCTGTTCTCTCACTTTAGTAGCTTTGTCACTTTGATCCCCCCCATAACCTCATCCATTATTGTTGTAAAATGGTCCTGGTGTGACCATGGCTGTACTGGCTCCTCCCACTGATGACCCTGGTCACTTATCACATCCTTTTTCCCCCTCCAGATCTGCCAAGCAGCCTACCCATTAGCACTTTGCATCTTGGGTTGATCTACATCCAAGAGAGAAGATGTCGGGGACCTGTGGGACAGCGTTTTTTTTTAATTTTTAAAAAATTTTGTAATGTTTATTTTATTTTTGAGACAGAGAGAGACAGAGTATGAGTGGGGGAGGGCCGGAGAGAGAGGGAGACACAGAATCTGAAACAGGCTCTAGGCTCTGAGCTGTCAGCACAGAGCCCGACACGGGGCTTGAACCCATTGACTGCGAGATCATGACCTGAGCTGAAGTTGGCTGCGTAACCGACTGAGCCACCCAGGTGCCCTGCTGTGGGACAGCTTTATGCCCCTCCCTGTAAATTAAGTCACCCCGGTACATACAATAAACATATGTCTGGTGTGCCATGCTGCCCCTTCAGGCCTAGGGAAAATCTGCTGGAACCCCCATTCCATACCTGTGGGTTTCTTCTGCTTCTCCACCATGGCTAAGGTCGCAGGGCCTTACTTCCTGCCACACGCCTGGCACTCCGGATGCATCGTCCTCTGCGCAGTTCATCTCACAACTGTTGGTTCCTCTCTCCCAGAACGCACTCCTGCTGCTTGACTCTCAGCCCCTGACCCCAGATACGAGTCCACTCTTTCAAGCAGATGTCTGCTGAAGAGTTGGAGGGGTGCGGAGGGGGGTCAACAACTCTTCAGCAGATAATTGAAAAGAAAATATTGGAACTTCCCTATTCAGAAGAAGTCTGCCAAATCCATTTCATTGAACCTAGCTCTCTCCTCAGCCATACTCAAAGGCCCCTTTGTCTTTTGTCTCCCCTCTGATATCTGTTCTCTTTCTTCTCCACCCTGGAGTTCTTGTTCATGAGTCCTTCCCCACTGAATCTGTTTATTTTTTTAATGTTTTTTATTTATTTCTGAGAGAGAGAAACAGCATGAGCAGGGAAGGGTCAGAGAGAGAGGGAGACAAAGAATCCTAAACAGGCTCCAGGCTCTGAGCTGGCTGTTAGCACAGAGCCCCATGTGGGGCTCAAACCCACGAACCGTGAGATCATGACCTGAGCCGAAGTCGGATGCTTAACCGACTAAGCCACCCAGGTGCCCCCCCCCCGAATCTATTTATAAAATTGTTTAAATTAAAGAGTGTTTTAGTTTATTGTTCTTTTTGACAGATGTTCCTCTTGATCGTGGGCTATAATCTCCTTTTTCACATGTTTAGTAATTTAATTGCCAGTCTTTCTGTTTTTCAAACACTTGCCTTTAAGGCTATACATTTCCCTCTAAATACTGCCTTAGTTTATCCTACATAGTATGAGTTACAGTATTTTAATTGTCATTTTGTTCTAAATATTTCCCTTTTTTTCTTTTAGAGAGGTAGCACATAAGCGCAAGCTGGGTAGGGGCAGAGGGAGAGGGACAGAGGGAATCTCAAGCAGGCTCCATGCTCAGCATGGAGCCCAATGTGGGGCTCAGTCTCATGACCCTGAGATAATGACCTGAGCCAAAATTAAGAGGTGGACACTCAACCGACTAAGCCACCCAGGCACCCCTGTTTTTGTTCTAAATACTTCTTAATTTTTTATGTTCTATGACTCTTAATTTTTGAAACAAGACGACCTTAATTGCCTCCTTGTTGTTGATTCCTAGCTTACTTTTATTTATTTATTTTTTTTAAATTTTTTTAATGTTTTATTTATTTCTAGGAGAGAGAGAGAGAGAGAGAGACAGCGTGAGCAGGGGAGGGTCAGAGAGAGAGGGAGTCACAGACTGAAACAAGCTCCAGGCTCTGAGCTGGCAGTCAGCACAGAGCCCGACGCGGGGCTCGAACCCACGAACCGCGAGACCATGACCAAAGCGAAAGTCGGACGCTTAACCGACTAAGCCACCCAGGCGCCCCCTTAGCTTACTTTTATTGAGGTCAGTTGCGTACAACTCTGACTTTTAGAACTTTGTTGAGATTTACCTTATCTCCCAGGACATGCTCAATATTTGGGAACATTCTTTGTGTGCTAGAAAAGGATTATTGAGCACATCGCCCTATGTATGTCCATTAAGTTGACCTCGTTCATACTTTAAAATCTTGCATATCCTTGTTGAATTATTTGTTTATTTCTGGGAGAAGTATATCAAACCCATCCAATATCATTGTGGGTGTATCTATTTCTCTTTGTGGTTCTGTCAATTTTTGCTTTATATATTTTGACACTTTGTTATTAGATAAGTGCAAATTCAAATATTAGATCTTCCCAGTGAATTGAATCTTTATTATTATTTTGTATCATGAAGCAATTCTCTTTGTCTTTAGTAATACTTTTGACCTTAGAGTCTACTTTGATCTGATATTCACATATTTCCTTTTGGGTTGGAGTGCTTAATCTCAAGTAGGCATCCTCATTATTTCCTTCAGCATTTACCTCTGCTTCCAAAGGGAAGCTTGGAACTGTACAGTTCCCCATATCTCTTTTCTTTATGATTCTGTATTGAACTTAGCCAATGAGAGACAACTGCACAGGATTTGGAAGCTGGATGAGAAGGAGCAGCTATTAATCCTCCTGAAAATCACCCAGTTGCTTTCCTGAAAGCAGATTTTCTGTGAAAGCAGCTTGCTGACCTTTGGTCCCTGATCTTTATCACCCAGCTGTTTCAAACAAAGATCATTGAAGCCTCTGATTCCCTGTATTAAATAAAGCCCTTTACTCTGAACGCCTAGAGGCTTCTGTTTTCCCAACTAAATCCTGACTGAAACGCTTGATATTTCTTCTTGCAATCTTTTACTTTCAAACAGTCTGTATCCTTACTTTTTAGATATATCTCTTGTAAAACTATAATTAGATATTTTTATATTGGCAACTGTTAAAGAAGCATTTGGCCACTTACATTTTATTTACACACTGAATTATTTGAGTTTAAAGCTACGATCTTATTTTGTGTCTTCTATTTGTTCTGCATGTTCTATTTTCTTCTTTCTTTTGGATTGACTACATTTTTTTCATTCTATTTTCTCCTCCTCTCTACTCGATTGTAGGGTATGTACCGTGTTTCCATTCTTTCAGTGGTTACCCCAGAAATTCAGATAGTCATCCCTAACTTAACAAAGTCTCAAATTCTTCAGGATGTTTACTCTCATCCTGAATAATACAGGATCTCTAAAACCTTTTAATTCCATTTACTGCCCCCTATCTTATACATTATTACTGTTATTTATTTTAAATATATTTTATGGGCCACCTGGGTGGCTCAGTCGGTTAAGCATCCGACTCTTGATTTCCGCTCAGGTCATGATCTCAACAGTTCGTGGGATCGAGCCCCTTGATGGGCTCTGCACTGACAGCACGGATCCTGCTTGGGATTCTCCATCTCTGCCCTTCCCCCATCTCAAGCACTCACACGCCCTCTCCCGCTCTCTCAAAATAAATACACCTTTTAAAAAGCCCACAAGTCACAATTATTATTATTCTATAAAGTCATCATAATCCTTCTTGCTTTTCCTACTTTGATCTGGGCTCACATTATTGATACATCCTTCAGTATTTCCGGTAGTGAGGGTGTGCTAATGGCAAACTCTCAGATTTTCCTTCTTTCATTAATCTGAAAATGTTTTATTTTGCCCTCATTTCTTTTGACTCTTCAATGAAAATGTATTTCATCTTCATATGCGATACAGTGATGCAGGACATAATCTCAATTCCAGAGATCTCTGCGAAGTGTGGCTTACTACAATCAGGTCAAAGAGAACCAGGAGTTTTGGTGATGCTCTGTGTCCTCCACAGAGTGTCTCTGGTCTTTCCCGCCAGGTTACCGTATCTTCCCCATGCATCTTCAGCAGAATTTGCAGCCATGGAGCTGAGGAATCCCCCTTGAAAGGTCTAGTGAAATTTTTTCTACCAGCAAGTACATGTTCACTGTTACAAATCTGATCATGTTGTCTATGAACCTTAACAGAAATTCACTTTGAGCAGTTGCTCTGCCTTCCTCCTATGTGACCTTTAATCACTGACAGCTGTGGAGCGGGGCTGTGTCATAGGTCCTCAGATGACCAAGCTTAGTAACAAACTGCTTTAGCACCAGTGGATCCCCCTGCAGAGGTACATGTACAGGCAAGTGAGGGGTCTCTGTATTCACAATGGCCCAATGAAGTGTGACATCTCTCAAGAATAACAGGTCACGAGAAACAATTGTTTGACAAAGTAAATACTTCAAAAAAAGATAACGAGCCATTACTTGAATGACAGACCATGTCATCATTTTGTTTGATAGAAAAAGTATGTCATTCCTGATATTCATCAGTATTGATGGCAATGTGATGGAGATAAATCTTTTTGATGTCTACAAACATTGCAAAGTCTTCAGAAAGCATCAGCAGGCTTTAAAAGC